GGAGAGTCAGATGGTCTGTCCAGTCCATATCCATGAGGAAGAGAAAGCCCACGTCAGTTTATTGAGGCCTCAGCTGTGGGTGGGATGGGGCCCATTTCTCTGGGAAGAACTGGGCCACTGACTCCAGGGAATATAGGGACCATGAGATACACACCAGGGAAAACCCCTATGAACTACAGGGGCCCACTGCAGGTAGGGTGTGGGGAAACTTGGGCATAAGTGGCTTGGAATCATCTTCAAAGGAAAATCCTGTCTGGGTAGGTGAGGGGACATCTGAATAGAAATAGTTTGAGAGGAACTGATCAGATTGTGATGACCACATCTTAAAAAATCTTTTGAGATGATGCATGATTTTGGAGTATCACCTAATAAATGAGATAAATGAACAGCAGGATGCTGGAGATACTGGAGATAAAAAAAAAGTATTAAATAACATACTTCTTGACAACAGTGGACTTTTAATGTTTGTTGACAGTACTACAGATTATACTTATGGGGGAATATAGATACTGTTTTAAATAATTATACAAAAGGATTTGTCATGCATTTGTGCTCACTTTATAATAATCTCTAGAAAAACACTTTGTGCTGCCTGACCACTATTATAAAATTAAAATTATGCTAAAGATAAAGGATACATATAATTTACCAGATTTTATTGCATATGCATGTATAGCCTCACAAAGATCCAATAAGAGGGTTGCATTTGCATCTGGATTTCTAAAATCATTTGAAATTCCCTATTAGCAAGTGCATATTCATATTCATTATAAGACTTCTTGATATAGCATGCTAATTACTTGCCTGCACTCTAGCTCCCACGCCACAATAAATCCTCTTATAAAAGCAGATCACTGCAAACTTCAAACAGCATGCATCCTTGAGATGCCACTATTAAAGGAAGAATGCTGATGGAAAATCTTTGATCTTATCAGACGTGATGGAAAATACACATTTGTATTTGAGTAAATCTGTAGAAGGAAGCATTCCACCCCCATCCTTAAGTAACCTGAAACCAATTTCAAGTTCCCAAATGCTCTTCAAAGCAACCCGCCTTGGAAGTGATGCTGATGGCATTACAAATTTCAAGGCAGCTTGCTTTTTCCATCTCAAGACTTCAAGCAGATTTCAAATTTTACTTTCAAAGAGAAAGGATATTACCTACTTTTTAGCCAAACCACTAGCCTCTGGGCCGACGAGCAGAATGTCGTAGGTAAAGAACTTACCTATGGTAATGAAAGATGGTACATTACCAAGTAACTCAGAACTTGAATAATGCAGTTGATTGTAGGGAATTCTAAGCTGGAAGTGTTTAGAGGCTTCCTGCTTCAGTTCTTGTTCTAGTGTGGTTGACCAAAAGTTAGAATGTAAACTCTGGGCATGTGGCAGGACAAGTATACCCAACAAATTAATCCAGCTCCTCCTGAATGGGGCGTCTATCAAGCTGAAGACAAAAATCGGTGTGTGTTTGACTCCTGCACCCACAGGGAGCCTGAGCCACACAATTCAGAACATTCATACTATGAATAATCCCTGTAGCAGGAGGGTCGGTCTGTGGCTTCTTAAAAGGCCTCAGATTTGTGGTCAGCAGAAACATCCATGAGCCTATTTGGGCTGAAGGATACAGTGGCCCTAGTGAAGTTCCCCTAGCATTTAATTAGGTTTCCTGTAATTGCTTTAAGTAAAAGGAGGGGGAATAAAGCCTGATGTTATCATCTTGGGACACAAAATATTTGTATGTGGTTTTAATATCCTGAGCCCATTTGTTGCTGCCCTGCATTTTGGAAAGAGCCGTTATAGTTCTGAGGAAATACACACTACAGGTTTACCAGCCCTTTGGTGACTGTAAATTTACTGCAACAGCTTTTAAAGGAAGAGTTTTCTTTCCAGTAACTGAATTTCTGCATGAAGAGAGAAGGTATAAACAAGTAAAACAGGCAAAAGTATTAAATGCCAGAGAGTGGAATAAAAAAGGAGGGTGGGGCAGGGGTGAGGGGTAAGCTGTGTGCCATCCTTCCATGAACTCCTAGATATCAGAAAATGAGAATAATAATTGCAGTAAGACAGGAAATGAGAGGGCCTAAGCAGAGACTAGGAAAGAAGAAGGGAAGTAGCATTATTCGTTAATAAGTTGGGATTTATGCTGTGGAGATTGTTCTATTATTTAGACATTGACTAAAATAACATGCCGATCTTTTCATAGAGGAGTGAGGGACTTAGATATGCCAGTTTCTTGAAAATTCTTTTTAAACTGACCACTGTGGGGGTGCCTGGGTGCCTCAGTCAGTTAAGCGTTCGACTTCGGCCAGGTCATGATCTCACGATTTGTGAATTCAAGCCCCATGTCAGGCTCTGTGCTGACAGCTCAGAGCCTGGAGCCTGCTTCAGATCTTGTGTCTCCTTCTCTCTGCCTCTCACCCACTGATGCGCTCTCTCTCTCTCTCTCTCTCTCTCTCTCAAAAAATGAATAAACATTAAAAAATTTTTTTAAACTGATCACTGTAGAAGCATAAAGGATACCAATTTCCAAGACTTTAAACAATAACTTTAAATATATTTAATACATTTTTGGCCACAGAGTTGCCCCTTCAGGATCTTGCCCTGCCTTGGCTTATAAAATTCACTTTCCTGGGCTTCATTTCAGTTCAGGGGCTCTTGAGTGGATCTAAGGACTTAGTTGTTTCTATGACTCAAGTCCCTGCAGTTCCTGATAGAAAATATTGCTTATTTCCCTAGTGGAACAGCTTCCATTTATATTCAGTGTTCCTTATTTTTCCTGAGGGCTTTGACCCATTTGAGCATGGTCTCGGTTTTAGGACAAGTTCTGGAATACTCTTGTACTCTTCATGTCACCTATACCAAGAAGTCATGCAAATAGTTTAATAAATCATAACTTTTAGAAACTAAAAATTCCTAATATTCATATTTTTCATATTCATAACATAGTCATATATATGTGGATGTGTGTATATATACACAAATATACACATATATATGTGTGCATATATATTTATATTTACATTCTCATCTGATTACATCATCTGCATGCTTAACACACTTTGATGCTGTCCATGACTTTCAGAAAGAAATCCCAAATTCTGAACATGGAGTGCAGCTGTGGTTCTCAAACTGTAGCATGCATCAGAATTCTTGGAGTGCTTGTTAAACTAAAATTGCTGGGCTCACCTCTCAAAGTTTCGTACTCAATTTGAGTCTGGAGTGGGACCCAAGAATTTGACTTCCAACAAGTTCCCAGGTGATGTTGATGAAACTGTTCCGGGGCTACACTTTGAGAACCACCAGTCTACAAGAATATATATTAACCGATCTTTTTCTTCTCCCTAGCTTCATCTCATGCCACCATCTCTGTGTCTGGTGCTCAGTTGTCTTCTCCTGGGTTCTCAATCTCCTCATTCTCTTTCCTGCGTTTTCCCATATCTTCCGACCCTCTCCTTAGATAATTTAACCAAGTTAACTCACGTTGGATCCTTCGTACTAAGTTGAGTTCACTTGTTATTCACTCTCATTTTCACTATACTTCTTGGTTGCAGCATTGAACACAGTTGTAATTAAATAATAAATTGTATAATCTGTAGTTAATATGTACCCTCTGCACAATAATATAGGTTCATTGAGGGTAAGGACTATCTTACTCATCAGAGATTCACAAGTGCCTAGGGCAATACCTTTTCTATAATTGATATTAAATATTTGTGCAATGAATGAATGAATGAATGAATAGAAAGTACAAAGAAATATATTTAATCTTTCTTACTGTGCTTGTACTTAACCCAGTCAAATTCTTCTAGTCCCTCAGGATGCCCCTGCCAATACTCTCCATAGGTACCTCATACGGAAAGTGTGTGCAGGAAAACTGGCAATTGTCCACGTGCATTGATCAGATGATCCTTCTTGCTCAGTGAAAAGAAGCACATTGCAGAATGACTCTAAGAAATAGGCTTAGGTACATTAAGATAAATACTCCTAAAATGATAATCTCAGATTCTTAGTTCATTTTTTGTTATTTAGGATGACATAATGGTGTAAAATAAAATCCAATTATTTGAGCATTTTAGCTGGAAGACACTTTCAGAGGGTTTTGGTTACATTACAATTATAGAGAAACATTTGGGCTTTCAAAATATTGTGCATGAAAACTTTAAAGTCACACATTCTTTGGATAAAATAGCAGGGATTTGTTAACTTAAGGCTGGTATTTTTTTTAAAGAAAACAGTGTGCCTTAATAGCTAAAATGCAACTATTAAAATAACTTAGTTTTAAATAATCGCCACATATTTATAAAGTACTAGCTTATATTATGATAAAACCTGGCATATATATTTATATATATACATTTATGATTATAGTTTTAGGTCATTCTCATGTCATGTGAAGAGTTAGGGGAAGATTTAGTTACTGTAAAACTATACAAGGTGTTGTAAAACTGTATATAGCTTTTTGGTACCAGACGATATTATAATAAAATGTGGTATGTGTTTATATATGTTTGTGACTTATATACTTATGATTATAGTTTTAGGTTATTCTCTGTCATTTCATGTGAAGAGTTAGGAAGATTTAGTTATTGTAAGGTTATGTACAGCACACAGATATCTTTCCACAACCTATATAATTTGGTTACCATCTCCTTAGGAGATGTGAAATTCAAGTTCATGTTTGAATAAACCAAGGAAGATAACTCAGTGGAGGGTGAATGTTTGTCAGGCTATTTGAGAAAAGGTGTAATTTTGTGGAGTGATAGATCTGTTCGACTTTCATCTTCTGATGAAAGCAGATTTGAAATAGCAAATAAGAAAATGAAAAAGTTGAGAGTCCAATAACTGGGGCCAGAGGAAAAATCACAGGTGGACAGTGACGGTACCTGGTGTGTTGATCTATGGCATCAAGACGGATCACTCGGGGGAAATACACGGTGTGATGGTTTGAGTGTTGTTCGTACCAGTCTTTTCCTGACTTCAGTCTTCCTTTCTCTTGGCAGGTCTCATTGTCCGGGAAGTGAGCATTGAAATTTCCCGCCAGCAAGTGGAAGAACTCTTTGGGCCGGAAGATTACTGGTGCCAGTGTGTGGCCTGGAGCTCGGCGGGCACCACAAAGAGCAGGAAGGCCTATGTGCGCATCGCATGTGAGTCATGGCACACGGGCCACATGGGTTTCAGAAACCGGTGGAAGGTGGGAAAATGTAGACCGTAACTGCTCTAAATTCAAAGAACCGTCGTCAAAACTCCCAGATTTCTGCATTTGAGCTACACTTTCCCCTTAAGTCCCCAGGATACCATTTTGTTGTGGTGGTTGTTGTTTCAAGACGCTTTTAGTTTGTCTTTAGGGATGTGAAAGAATTAGTGGTACTTTCAAAAGATTCTGAATTTTCTTTTTGAATCTGGTAATAATTAGGCTACAGGAAAACCAAACTGTATTCCTTTAATAAGTTTATTCTGCCAGTGTGTTAAGACAATGTTGATTAGTTTTGTTATTGGAAATAGAAATGACCCATACAAAGCTTCTCTGTTCATTTTTGGAGCCATTCTAGTGCATCAAAACACAGCACTATTTTCCAAACTGTGTTAAATTCTAGAGTATTCATGTTTAGGGAGAGGTTGGGAAGTGCCTCACAAAAAAGCGGTCCATAATCAAATAAATGTGGAAAATAGTTTTTGGGGGGCCAAGATAAATAGGTTTATTCATTGCAAAATTCTTGGATTTTTAAATATGCTAATACATATTATCCCTAAGAAAAAGATGTAGCCTGCAGCTGTTTTTTGCAGGCCCCTCTTCTCAAGGAGTGCTATTCACATCTTGAGCAGCAATGGATGCTGCTTTAATCTGCCTTAAGGTTCCATACTGAGAAATTTTCTCAAGTATGAGACCACTGAAATCCATGTCAATTATATGATCTGAACTCTTTTGAATGTCTGCATTTGACTAAATTCTGTTTTGTGGTGGATGTCAGTATCACCCCCCAACACGTCACTGAGTCCCAATAGTCTTGGCTCTGAGGGTTCTCCCAGTTCCGTACCTGCCTCTTCCCTTCCCTCCTACTTGATCTAGATCCCAACCATTGCAAACACGCCCCAGCCAGTCTCAATGGCTCCACTTATTTCCCTTTTCTAGACCATCCTCCATATTATCACAGTGCAGTCTTCCTGAAACTCAGGTCTCTGCCCAGATCACTTCCCTCCCTGCTAAAATGTTACAGTAGCTTGGAGATAAAGGAAAAATTCCTTACCATTAATGCCATATGCCGTCGTCCGAGTCTGCTAGGGCTGGCATACAAAGTACCACAGCCTGGGTGCCTTAACCAGCCGAAATCTTCTTCTCACAGTTCTGGAAGCTACAGGTCTGAGATCAAGGTGCCAGCAATGCTGTCTCCTCCGAAAGCTTCTCTCCTGGGCTCGTGGATGCTTGTCTCCACATGTTTGCACTGTCTTCCCTCTGCAACTGTCCTGGCCCGCTGACATAAAGACAGGAGTCATATTGGATTAAAGCTACCCTAAAGGCCTCATTGTAACTTCATCACCTCTTTAAAGGCCTTATCTGCAAATAAAGTCACATTCTGGAGTCCTGGGGGTTAGGACGTCAACATGTGAACAGTTCGGCCCCTGACAACTATATTTCATGGTTTATATATGCAACCTGTATTTTCAGTGTCAACCACAAAGAATGTTTCCATTTTAGTCACAGTACATTTGAAATACTTTGATTTCCATGCTTTCCAGCTACTGTTCACAGTGAAGGGTTTCATCCTTCTCTTACTTCCCTTCATTTTTGTAAACATTCATTTATTTAACAATATTTAGTAAGCTTTTACTCTGTTCTTGGGACAGTTGTACCTATTGGGTATGGAGCCAAAAGCAAACATGTAATGATCCCTGCCCTCATGGAGTTTTACTTTCAGGTAAACAAGGGCGAACTCTAAATAAAGCAACTACTAATCAGGCACAGAGCAGATGGTAAGTGCTACAGAGGAAAGTAGGGGCGCCTGGGTGGGTTAAGCACCTGACTTCAGTTCAGGTCATGATCTTGCAGTTTGTGGGTTTGAGCCCCGTGTCAGGCTCTGTGCTGACAGCTCAGAGTCTGGAGCCTGCTTCGGATTCTGTGTCTTCCTGACTCTGTTCCTCCCCCACCATATGCTCTATATCTCAAAAATAAATAAACATTAAAAAAATTGTTTTAAATAGTAAAGCAGGAAAGGGGGGTATATTGTGCTCAGGGAGGGTAGTCATGGAATTCCTCTGGAAGAAGCTGACAGTTGAAGAAACCTGAAGGAGGAGGGGAAGGGGAGTTAGGCAGAGGGAGCCGCAAGTGTCACAAATACAGATACCCTGGGGCAGGAGTGTGCTGGTTATCCTAGGCAGATGGCCCAGGACACTGTAGGTGTAACATCTTTGGTTTTTATTTTGAGAAGAGAACTTTAGAATGTTTTAAGCAGAGGAATTCATGATTTGACTTCCATGTCAGCAGAATCATGACTTGTGCTTAGAATAGATGAAGAGTAGAAGCACAAAGACCAGTTATGAGGCTGTGTCTATGAGGGACGGTAAACTTGCATAGATAAGCAGCAGTGAAAGTGGCATAACCTGGATCCTAGATACAATAGTCTCCCTTCCCCGGGGCGGGGGGAGGGGGGAGGGGGAGAGATGTGTTCCAAGAACCTCAGTACATACCTGAAACTGCAGATAGTACCAAACCCTATACATGCTATGTTTTTTCTATATATACCTATGAGAAAGTTTAATTTATAAACTACGCATAGTAAGAGATTAACAACAATAAGTGAAGAAAAAAGAGAAAAATTATAAGGGTGCCTGGGTGGCTCAGTCGGTTAAGCGTCCGACTCTTGATTTTGGCTCAAGTCATTATCTCACAGTTCATGAGTTCAAGCCCCACGCTGGATTCTGTACTGACAGTATGGAACCTGCTTGGGATACTCTCTTTCCCTCTCTCTATGCCCCTCCTCCACTCACACTGTCTCTCTCAAAAGAAATGAGCATTTTTTAAAAAAGAAAAATGGTAACAATATACTATGAGAAAAGTTATGAGCGTGCACTGTCTCTCAAAATATCTCATTGTGCTGTCCTTCTCCTTCTTGTGACGATGTGAGGTGATAAAATGCCTGCGTCAGGAGATGAACAGCACAGGTGTCGTGATGTGGTATTAGTCTGCTGTCAGCCTTCTCATGATAAGTCAGAAAAGGGAACAACCGCTCCTGGACTGCAGTTGACGGTGGGTAACTTAAACCTCAGAAAGCAGAATGGTGGACAGGGAGGACTATTTTACATTTAAAGGCAGAGGTAATAGCTTTTGTTGAAAGGTTGGATGTGAGATGTGAGAGAAAGAGAGGAAAGAATGATTCAAGAGATGTTTGAAGAGTTTGTTTCAGACGTCCTCATGAACTCTTTCCTGTCTCCTGGGTCTCCAGAGAGACAGGCATCCCTTTCTTTTATACCTTCAGAACACTTTGCCCATTCTCTTAACACAAGGCTTGTCTCAATTAAATTATATTCACTGGTTGGAATGTCTGTGTTTCATGCCAGCAAGTTCTTTGAGATAAATTCTGCTTAAGTCAGTTTTGCTTGACTTTTTATCTTTTGTGCTTAGCCTAACGCCTAGAACATCATAGATGTTTAATAAATTTTGTTGAATTAAAACTGTTAATAAAAATCTCCCGGTGAAGTTTATTAAAATGCTATACATTAATCTTTCCTCTCTGAGCATATCTATGGAGATTTGCCTCTGTCTTTTGTGGATTCTCTGTGAAGTAGATCCTGGGATAGGGACATGCACACAGAGAGGGTGTTAAAGAGTACTCTTCGGGACAATACTGGTGCAGATATGTGGGCAGTAGGATTGAGCAGAAGGGGGACTTGAGCTTTGGGACAAAGGATGGCCCCATAGGGAGCTCTGGAGCTCAAATGGCCCTTTAGAGTTGCCCCACCGTGAGATACAGGGGGTTAGTGGGGCTTTATTCCTCCACATAGACTAGTCCATGGATGTGGGCCCCTACCCGCTTGTGTGTCCTGGGTCAAGTCAGCTTTCAGCAGCTGAGGGCAACACTCCCAATGGGTGGGATCAGTCCTAAAAAGGGGTCTCAGTGGCATACCCCATATCCACTGCAATCATCTGCCACAAATCTTGAATACTTTATTAATCATGAAGAAAAAAGGTAGTTTCAAACATTTTTAAAGGAAATAAGAAACTAATTGTTTTGGTCAAATATTTAAATGAATTCAAAGTTAGCTTCTAGGGGCAGCTGGGTGACTCAGTCGGTTGAGTGTCCCACTTTGGCTCAGGTCCTGATCTTGTAGTTCATGAGTTCGAGCCCTACATCAGGCTCACTGCTGTCAGCTTGTCAGCACAGAGCCCTCTTCAGATCCCCATCTCTCTGCCCAACCCCACTTGCACTTTCCCCAAAATAAATAAATATATGTAAAAGAAACCCAACAAAGTTAGCTTCTAATTACAATCAAAAGTAACACAATGATATGACTGTATCTTTATCTTTCATTGCTATGTGTTCATTAATATCAGTTACAATAAATATTTAAAATTGCCAGTTTATATTCCATATTAAATTGGCTTGGCTAGAAGCTGAAGTTTAAGGACTGCATAGTTCCAAGTGATGAATATCTTGTGCCAATTTCATATATATATATACAAATATATATACGTCATGTCATAGTACACGATATATGTATATGTCATATGTATATATATATTATTACACACACACACTCTCTCTCTATATATATATATGTCCCTATTCTCCACATAAATATTAAATATCTGTAAGAACCCCATCTTTCTTTGCAACATATTATACAAACTTCACTAAATATAATTTGACATTTTCAAATAATAACCAAACTGTTCTAGTAAGAGGTTAATTTGCCCATAACACCTTTTCATCTTCATGCAATAAGACTGAAGAGCGGTTTGCCTGTACTTCCATATTTTACTGAATTCATATGTGTGTGGCCGAGGACGACCATCCAACATGTAAAGATTTATTCATGTAGATTTTTATGACGCTAAAAAAGGAGGAGTTAAATTTCGGTGATCTCTGTCAGGGCTGATTCCTACAATGTGAGTTTGTGCTAATGTTGCACAAACTTGCAAATTTTCTAG